AAAAAAAAAAAAAAAAAAAAAGATGGCCAAAATTTTGCCACAATAGATCACAGCCATTCGTTTTTCAGTGATCAAAAGTTCAACACATCATTGCCAAATTATTTTTCTTTTTTTATGTTAATGGGGGAAATAAAGGCTGTAATGACAGTACTTAATGTTGTATTTTCTTGACCGATCATGGAGAAGTAATTAATACAACAAACAAATCTGGATTTTAGAAAATGCTGCATACCATTATTGGTTAGCTAGAGCTAATTATTGGTTAATTAGACACGAAGAATATCAATCTCAATATACCAATCATATTTTTTTTTGGTACAAAAAAAGAGGCTATGACAGCCTAGATGGTAACCGAACACCGATGAGACACTCCCATCCGATCATGGAGTAACCACATGCTGGCCCCTGGCGGAGGATGCTCCAGTCTATGTAGCCCACCCGGACCTTGTGCTGCGAGTGATGCTAAATAATCCGCCATCATATTTTAAGTGGTCTGAAATAAATTCAAGATTTCCAAACAAAATAATGTGGAGCACCTCTAATCATAATAATCCTTAGAAAAATTAGAAATCATGTCACTCACTTCATGTCAAATCATTCATTATTCTATTGAAAGGTAACCACAGATCCCAATCTGTAGTAGTACAAAACTGCTGCAAATGATCGATCAAATGAAAAATAATATAGAAAATAAAAGGTATGAATATGCAGATTTTAAACATGCATGATTTTAACAAGCCCAAGAACATAGCATAGGATCCTTCTATTTTATCAAACTTAAAACAAACATATATTCCATGTGACAAAATCAAATACTACAAGTTTAATTGCAAAATATAGCCAGTATTTTGTACGCGGTGGCAATAGTAGCCACCGCCTTTATGAATTGGCAATATTAGCCAACAACTTTAAAAAATTTGGGATTATTATCCATGTACGACTAAATTTGATGGCTATTAATGGCACTGCATAAAAAGATACTGACTATATTTTGCAATTTATCTGTCGAATTTAGTTGAATATGGGTAATAATCTCGAAATTTTGAAAGTTGTTGGCTAATATTGCCAATTCGTAAAGATGATGGCTATTATTGTCATCGCGTATAACATACTGACTATATTTTACAATTTAGCCAATACTACATATGAATTTTGTGTGTCTTTGATCATTGGTTTGCATTGCAGCCTGTCTTTCTGGGATCTTGGCATGTAAAACATTTCAATAATAGATGTTGAGTACAATTCTGAGGGTGTTCGTCAACAGAAATCGAAACGGACACAAATTTTTACGTTTGAGTTTGGAAATGCACCGATGAAATTCCCCGATCATCAATAATTACAGCAGAAAAGTATGCATTTTTTTTTTTCATCTTTTATTGTGTGTCATTATCGTTCTTTAATTTGAAAAGTTTCAATCAAATCTCTATTATTGGAATAGAGCCCACAAACGAGCGAAAACGAAATTGCTAAAAGATGGGGGGAAAAAAGTCAGATGCATTAAAACAAGATGTCCTAAAATTTAAATTTCATTAGATTAAAAAACAAAGAGTTAACTGTTGTCCTATATCTATAGTACGTGCCATTTACCAATGAAACGTCAAGTTGTGGGTGTCTTGGTCTTTCTACTTGTTTGGAGTTGTTAAATAAGACGAGCCGCTTGGTTGTCAGCTCGATTTGCTAAGGTTCACACTCGAGTTTGTTTAAGGCCTGATTAGCTAACGAGCAGAGCTCTGCTAGACCCGTTAGGCTTAAATAGGGTTTTTTTTTAACGTAATTTACTAAACTTTGAGCATAATTTGGTTCATTAAACATCGAGCTCATTTATATAGGCTCGTTAACTTCATTAGCCGAGCTCGTTTTGGCTCGATATATAATAGCTCAAACTCGAGCTCGAGTATCAAGAGACTGAGTTCGACTCGACTCGACTCGTTTACCTCAATAGATTTGTTATATAATTAAATATAATATTAATGGTGTTGATGTTAAAAGTGCGACAACATTGAATAGTTTCACAAAACCAGCTATATTCAAACTAGCAATGCTAATTATTATTTATCTTTTCAAAGAAGCATATAATTAAAGCAATTACCAAACACATATTAGTAGAGACAATAACAGCACAACACAATTGGAATCTTATGTTACATCTCCCATAAGTACTTTTAAAAACTATTGTCCTTGCTAATTAATTAATTAACCACGCAAGAAAATATTTCACAATTATTAATCTTTTTTTTTTTAAATGCAGAGATAATGAATACACGTAAGCAGATTCTACCTTTAAAAATTAATAAATTGCACTATCAGTCCCTTATTTAAAATGTTCAATAAAGATAATTAACATGCATAAAAGTAGCTATACGTGAAAAAGCAATTCACACATTTTCTTTACCAACTTGAAAGATAGAGAATTCAACTTTTTTTTTTTATTTTATTTTTTTCTTTTCTTTTCTTTTTATTTATTTATTTTTGTGTTTGGGCCTCACTCTTACCACCCACCTTTAATTTTGTTGTGGATGAATGGAGAGACCAATCTATATCTATATATATATATAATTACTAGCTAATAGCATTTAATAAAACCTATTTAATTTTACCTATGTGGAAATTTAACAATTTTTCCTCAAAAAATCGTTACTTTTAATGAATTTAATTTTTCATTTAATTATTAAATAATCAACACTAATCACTTCAAAATTATAAAAATTATTTTAAACTTTTGATTACTGACAATTGACCATATAATGTGATGACCGTGTAATGTGATTAGATGTTATTATTGCGGTTACATTTAAATTATTTTTTTTTTTTAAAATTAAAAACATATTTGAAATTTCTAAATAAATAATAAGTTCACAAAAAAAAAGACGTACCAAAATATACATTACATCCAATCAGATAAACGCAATTTCAAAAAATAAATATTCCAACTCCTTTTTGTAAATTTGGCCAACAAAAAGATGAAAGAAAAATAATTAATCATTATATACATACAAATAACTCACAATACTTTATTTACATCTGTGCAAATGCATAGGATCGAATACTAGTAAAAGATAATAATAGCAAAGATGGAAAAAAAAAGTAAAACCAAAAAGAAAAATATTCTTGTTGAGGAGACAAGAAATGTTTGATAAAAATATTGCTTATAGAAAAAAGCAAAAAAGAAAAAAAAAATATCAATTGATTTAAATTGGTTCATAATTCATATTTTTTTTTCTGAAAAAATTAAATAAACCATGGTTGGACCATATAATAATCAAATTAATTTCATATATAATCAGGACACCAATTATTATGATTTGAAAGCTGTGTGACGAATTTATAATTTAGTGGCCATACACATGATATGCTTAAGACTTGGAACCGACCAATCACGTAAAAAAATTGTCTCTAATTAAGTGTCTTCTAAATGTAGAGTATATTGCATTTAATGAATCTTGGAATCATTATGGAATTATAATTATTTTGATGGGAGGAAAATAAGACATTCTTAAGCTTTGGACTTAAACTAATTTGGTCCTTAATTGAACAGTTTAGTGACTTTGTTTAATTAGGGCAAGTAATTACTGACAACTTTCTAGTAATATATTTATCAGAGGTCAACTTGTATTTGAACAATTGACTTTCTTTTTTTTTTTAAGTGTTTCAACTTTAAATCAGGCTGCAAAAACCCTGAAGATACTCCCTAGGGTCAATATTAAATTAATAAGGGCTTTTGCAGTAAATTCCTTTTTTTTTTTTTTTTTGGTACAGGGACTTTCCGGTTTTCGGATCTACAGAAGAACCGACTATTCTGAAATCGAGTCGGGTAGGACCACAAGGACGGCAAAGGTCTCCCTCAAGAGTTTGCAGTAAATT